TCTGTTTGTAGCTGAGTGTTCATCTAGTGGGATGCAGATTAGTACAAAGGCAACAAGTGAAAAAGTCTAAATATCTTGGAGTTAAATTCGCAAATGACAGGAAGCAGGCCGACGAAATAGATCGACGCATTGGTACAAGCAATGTAGTGTTGCGCTCACTGTACCAATCGGCTGTAACTAAAAAGGAAGCCAATTGGAAGACTAAGATTGCAATTTCCAACTCTGTCTATCGTCCCAACTTCATCTATGATTACGATTAATGAGTAATGATCGAAAAGAAATTCGATTTCGAATATAGACAGCCAAAATGAGATTCCTTAGGAAAGCAGCGGACTGTACAGTTCGACAGATCATAGCTGCGTTGGTTAGATCACATCTTGAGAATAGCACATAAAAGGCTTGCTTATCAAGTTTTTCAAGCTATGTGTGAAGGGAAAAGACTAGTCAACTGTTCACAGATGAGTTCGCGCAGTGAGGCCATGCGTCTATGAAATGCACGATTGAGACTTCTATGGATCGAGGTTATTCCAGCGGTGGAGAATCGATATAAGTGGAAGAGTTTACTGAATGGGTTTAAACTCCTTACCTGGAAGAAAAATGGAAAAAGAAAATGAATGAATCAATGAAATCTTCTATCGAAAATTCCCGAGGCACTTTTTCCCAGATAACTCAATGTGCTCTATCCGACCGGGCAAAAAAAGATGAAGAAAAGGCGTGAAAGTTTTGTATTGTGTGTATCTTTCAAAGAATGAAAAAAAACATCAAATAAGCATGTAATCCTGTAACACAATTTGTTATCTTACGTAAAAAAAACCTTGAAATTCTCGATGTCGTTTGTCATCGTCATAATGACTTATTTTTTGGTTTTGTATGATGGTGCACACTAAGATAACATGTGCTGGATATGTCATACTTTGAGACACAACATACAAAAGATTAAAGTGCAACACTTGGTGTTCGTTGCGTGATACATGTAACACATTCTACACACGTGATTTGAATATCTTTCGTAGCGCTTGGCATTTCTTCTGTAGAAGCAAATAATTTTTACTTCTTATTTTAATTTGAATTAATAACACCTATTTTTGGAACTTGAGACGGTTAGATCTTAAGATCACACAGCCTCAAGTTGATTTGGTCTCGATCAGACTGTTTCGAGGCAGCCCGTTCTCGAAAAAAGATTAATCGAGAAATAATCGTGAAAGAGAGATGTGGGAAAATTCTACGTTCAACTGAGTTAATTGTATATAGGTGGAATCGTAAAAAAAACCTATGAATGCATGGTTAACCACCAGACTACAACACGTCTAGAATATGGTGACATCAACATAACGAGATATTTTACAGATTAATTCAAATTGAAGGAAAATATTTTGAATTAATGAAATCAATTGTTTTCTTCTGTCCTAATCAGATACATAAAATTTCCGATAAAATCTCGTCAAATGATAAAATGATTTTGAGATAAGTCTGACTTTATTCAGTAGGGTTAATATAATGGAATGAGTATGACTAGGGATTTGAGATTGGTTTATCTATCGATAGACTGTTAACGATCATAAAATATCTTTATTGTTTTCATCGTCTATTAGACTCTATTACGATAAAATAAACTCATAAAAGATTTCTCACAATCAATTATAATCAATTTTATTATCTTTTCAACAAAATTTCGTGCTTATATTAAGATTATTTTCAATATTGATTTTCATGTTTCAAATTGCAACTTAATAAACATTTACTTTTTAATAAGATCTATTTATTGTCAATATATTTGATTTTCTCGAAAGTTTTTTTGTCAGAAACGAATATTATAAATTGTTTTATAGGAAAATAAAAAATATCGTTCGTTATGTTTCTATGTGATTATATAACGATAGTAGGATTACAAGACTAACACAATATTTGACATCCTACCATAACAAAAGTTAATTTATAGAAATTTTCAAATCGAAACTCGAAAGTGATTGTTGAAGAAGTACGATATTAGTTGAAATGACTGGATTGTTAATATATATAAATCATCTGAAAACGATAAAATTGTTTGTTAAAGTTTTCTTGTTAGTTTCGAAATAATTATAAATCGAATATTTTACTTTGATGATTGATTTATCCAATTAATAGCGTTTTATCGAATTAAAATACTGAAAGAAATTAACTGGCTTCAAGATTACAAACGAGTTGAAAAGTTCGATGAAATCAGACTTAACAAATTCTCAATGGTGAACTTTTATAGAAAATTGAGTATTGATCTCTTTCATATGATAATCATACGACTAGAAACGATAGAACCCATTACTTTTTATGTTGAGTAGTTTGATCAGGTAAGAGTCTTGAGTATGATCTATTATTGTTGATAAAGTTCTTTATAGAAAAAAAAATCTTTTTAAAATGGTTATATTGTTCTATTTGTTCGAATAATGCAACTTGTCGAAAACGTTTACATGTGTTAGCATCATTAGATTATCAAAAAGCTTTGGAATTATTTTTATCTAATGATAATACACTTGAATATTTATCTATTTTAATTGAACAACTTCTTTCAATAGATTTCAAACTTCAATATAAGAATTCTCAATCTGAAAATAGATGAACAATCACACCAAATTGAATAACTCGTTGAGATTGAGTCACATCAATTTATAGGAGAAAAACTTTGTTTTCAATCGGTTTTAAAATATGTCTTTTGAAAATTATTCTTACTCTAATAGAGAAATGTTATTCTCTTTTCAACTCATCAAATTCGAGGCTTCTTTCTTTTACTGATCAAAACGATGACTGGAAAGCCTCTCAATTTCGACTAATGCGCTCTGGATTACACAAAAACTAGGTTTAACAACGAATAATTGATAGCGATTAGTCGATTAGTTATGTCTGTTGCAAACGAAACAATTGTTTTATTTTTTGATTCTGATTCAAAAAGATACAATAAAAATCAATTTACAGCAAAGGAAAATAAATGTAATAGTCTTTCGAACCAACAATTTGTCTTCTCGTGAATAATTGTTTCACATTGGCACAATTGCGTCGCGTTGCTTCTCTTGTAAAATCTTCTGTGATGATTCTTAAATCTTCATATTGAAGACTTAATTCAGTAAGACAAGGTAGATGTGTTTTGTTTTCGTTTAGAAACTGTTCGATGCAAGTAATATCGGTTCTTGCAATGTCAAGTGAAGTGAGATGAAGATATTCAACGATTTGATACGACTGAATATTGTCAGAGAATTTCTTCGCATTATGTGACTGTGGTGTAATATTGGTAATAGAAAAGATTTTTAGCAATGGAAAAGCTTTAGCTGTTCTTAGGAAGAATTCATGTTCGAATGGAACTAAATCACATACACGTAATTCGATAACATAATTGAATAGAATATTTGGAAATATATTACCAATAAACAAAAGGTTGACAAATTCGAACGGTAACGTAAATATATGATATATAGTTGGATCAACAGCACAAATAATATTCGATACTTCTTCATATCCTATATTGACATAATTTTGTTTAATATTATTATTGGACATATAACGAACAAAATCATTTCTATTATTTTCAGCACTTAGATAAAATTTGAATGAATGAAGTCGTGGGATACACATTGAAAATTCATTTATAAGGTTAATTGGATCAATAAATATATCTTGATTAGCGATACGCAAATATAAAGTTAATTTTTCCAGATATAACATACGACGAAGAAGAGATACAATTTTATTATCATATTCTTTAATTAAACAACAACATATTAATGAAAAACACTTCAGATTAGGTAGATCATTCTATATAATGAAAAGTAATGGTTATGAAAAAAATTTTTTTTTATATAAAACTATAACCAGTAATACAAATTTAATTGAAAACTTTCTCCTTTTCTATTTCAATAATAGTTTAAAAATTTAAGCCAAATAGCTCTTAATTCTTTTATACTACAGATTAGTTTTCTAGAAAAACAATTAATTTTATTCGATAATTATTATAATTGAATAATTACATTGATTAATGAATGCAGAAAGGAAATCTTGTTTTCCTTGTGTTTATCTCACTATTCAGTATATATTCATTTGATTTCAAACGAAATCTAATTGATTTTGTTATAAAATATATATATATTTAAAGTAACAATTCGAACTTGGTATCTTTTACATCTGACCATTATTTTTTATTCGTTTGGATTATTAGAGTAAGATTCAATTGTTTATATATTTCATTACAAATCAAAACTTAACAATTTCAATTCTCATAAATAATAGCTAATTCTTAAAGAAGCTCAAGGAGTATGGAAACATTTTTATGTACTTTTTTTCAAGTCTTTTCGTAGTTGTCAAAATTAGTAAATACGATTTGCTTCTAAAGACGTGCAAAAGACAGTTTCGTTCAAATCCCATTCCGATATTTGGACTACATACGAGTCTCTGGACATATCTCTATAGTGCTTTATCATAAAACTTCATCATTTACAAATTTCCTAATTGTACTTTAACTCACAGGTGACATTTTGTTCGTACAAAAATATAAACAAGATAAAGTACACCTACCAAGTTGTGAATCGTTGATGAATTTCTATCGATATAAGAAAATTTAACAATAAATGTAGTCAATTGTTTGAGGCGACCATCAAGTAAACAAAGACAGTCACTGAAAGTGTTCACATTAATACATAAATACGTAAGAGTTAAAGAAGAAAAAGTATTTGATGGTAAATAACGAATTGACAACCATGGATATACAAGATTTGATGTTTCAACAACATTCAAATGCTCTAGATTTTCCAAATAAGTCAAAATATGTGCATATACTCTTTTCGTATAATCTTTCAATGATCCTACTGCATGCTCACAATCTTTATTGATAAGACCAAGTTTTGTAATCTGTTGTTTGAAGATATGCCGAAGAGATGATTCATCTAAATTAAAATACAATAATAAAATATTCTATAATCTCTGCTATTTGATATCGTTGCACACTAATCTTGTATTTGATGAAATATAATCTATAACACTTAATTACCTGTGAAATAATGTAATGAACTGTCACGTTGAAAATTAAAAATTTTTAATTCTGTCAAATTTGGATAGGGAGTAGCAAGAAGAATACGTTCCATAGACACGGCTTCAACAATCAAGCACTTCACATTGTAATGAATTCGAGGTAATATATAATTACAAAATCGACCAAGCATTGAATCAATTATTGTAGTGTCATGAACATTTGATGTAAAATTGAGGGTATAAGAAAAAATTTCTTCTCGTGATATACTATCAAGCCGTTCGTTATTAATACCAAATAATGAATGAAGAACATCAACATTGTCAAGTTTCTTCAAAATATTAAATAACATCTCATTTGGTAGATCAAGAAGATGAACATTTGGTCGATTCATGTTTAATATTGACTGTAACCTTTTTGTCAATATAGACACATATATATATTCTTTGTTGACGCTGATCACCGTTGACGTTATGAAGAATAGAATGGTTGAACTTATAGGAAGAAAGGTCACATCCATGCGTCCTCCAATGAAATCATTGATAAATACTATTTCATTTTTTCACAAATTCTCACATATACGTTATCATTACATTGTGTTCATTTATGCAGATGTCGGGAAACATATCATGCTCAGAAAAGAGAAGAGAAAAAAATATACTGCAAAATAAAATTGATGAAAGTGTTGTGTTTACGGTCACCCATAAAGGGTGTCCGTGAAAAAATAGTTATAATAATAAGAACGTTAAATTACGAAAAATGAATTTAAAAAAAATGAAATATAATCAGCAAATAGCAACAATGCAAAATAAAAATAGAGCACTCGTAGAAAAAAAACTGTTAGCGTAATTCGTTGCGAGATTAAAAATGTGAAACACGATATACCTTTTCTTAATAATTCTCTAAAAAATGCTCTTTTTTATGTATATTGGATATATTTCACCAGCATTGCTAAATTGAGAGTAGAATTTCATAAAGAAAATACTTCATCAATACTCCGATTAGATGTTAGTTATACAGAATATTTGATAGTCTGCTGAAGGCGGCTATCAATCGCTGTGAAGTTCCATGAAGGGTACCTGCCACGGTCTTTGATAATCTGTGAAGTCTGTCTGTCATGGTCTGTGATAGGTACAGGCTGTGTCTGTCACAGTATGTGACGGTTGATTACTTAATCAAATACTAATTAATTAATTAAGATGTCTATTACGGGTTTTGATTTCGTCCGAAGCCTGTCTGTCAAAGAACTGGACTATGAAAGTTTTCTCATTTTACATATTTTCTATTAGTTTAATGAGGCTAGAGAGCATATGTGAGTTGCGCATTTCAGCCCTAAAGGGACTGCGCTAACAAGCTTTTTTGATATGATTGTAATTTTGAGAAGTTTTGATGGAAAATATTAAATTCATATAGATAAATATTGTCAAATACTAGCATATGAATATTCTGAAAAGAAGACATGTTGACAATAAAGAAATAAATTATGGTCAAGTTAATTATTGATTGAATTTTTGTTTTTTCTTTTCTTGTTCGTGTATTCCAATAACAGAAACATAGCTAATAGCGTATAGAGTCAATGACTTTTTTGTGATATAACTTTGAAAAATCTATAGATGTTACTTTTCTAATGTTGGTATTGTTGTCGAATATTTTACTATCGACAAATTTTTCTTTGTATTAGTTTGAATAAGTATATAAATCAATTGGTAATGTCATGTTGATCATAAATATATTGTTAGAATTGAAATTACACTCTTTATTTTTTTTGGTTTTTTTTTTGTTTCTACCAATGAAATGCAATGAGAAGAACAAACTTCACAATCCAATACAAAGTTTTTCTTCATTTTTTAACTAATTATTAGAATATAGATATATAAATTTTAATAAAATCATCTATAAATCATATTGAATAAGAATATGAATTATTAGAGGAGAATATTGAATAATCCGTATTCAAATTTCATTTGATTAAATATTTTTTTTTAGACATTTTTGTTATACTGCTCGTTTGATAATTCTAATAGAGGATTTCTTTCCTATATCTTTAATGGAAATTTTCAATTGAAGAAGAATCTTCGATTTACTCTGCATTTGCACTATACTCCTATTGGAATCTTTGAAAATGACAACAAATATAAAATGTAATATGTTCTATGTCTTCAAAACAAAATAATTGAATGTGAATATTATATCTAGGTTTCCATTCTACAAGTTTAGTAGAAACCAAAACAAATAAAAATAAATGTGAAAACCTCGGATTTAAATCCGAGAGTTATGTGTACTGAAGAAAAGTGAATGAGACAGATGAGTCATCCGACGAATGTCTGGACATAAAAATTATCCTGGCAAATCTTTTCTATAAACACTTGATTTCTATTAGCTACTGCTCAACAAATAGGATTTGGGAATGAATACAGAGAAGATTTGAACTCTTCGCCTTGGGTTACCCTAAGAAAGTCGTTTTTCCTATAACTTGATTTCTATTGGTTACTGTTCAACCAATGGGATTTCGAGAGAAGTGGAGTACAGATTCGAGTTCTCCGCCCCAGGAAACATCGAACTATCATCTCTGTAATTCGAAGATAGAGCTCGAATTCTGGATCAATTAGAGGGTAAATATCAATCGTAGTTTTGGTGAAATTCACTTGAAAAATAGTCATTTCAAGCTTAAATTTAATCTTTCACTGAGGTGTAACAGAGAAAAATACATTTGAAAATTTAAAATCGATTTTAGAAATGCTTCAGAATCATCAAGTTCATCATTGTGAACAAATTTGCTGTTGGAGATATCTCAAAATTTCTTATGAATATGCTAAAACTTGAGTTTTAGTGTATCCAGCAAAATCTGCTGAGATTATACATTTACCCCACAATCGTAATGATGATTATAGAATTACTCTATGTTTACGCCACAAATTCAATTCTTAAATTTTCGAAATCAGATAAAGAGAGAGAACCACGTTTCTCACGATATTCTTCAATACCTATTGATAATAACGTGTCAGAAGCGCTCCTGAATAGTGAAACTGAAGTCTTGAGTGATTTATGTGGTGATTCAGAGATAGGTATGACTGATATAAGGCGAGAAAATTCCACGATGACTTATGCCGATCTGACCGGTTTAGACTATTATTTAGACTCCGCTTTCGACGTAGAATTTTCATTTGTAGAAACAACAGAATTAGTTTGACATTCGATAACTTACATCCCTAGACAGAAGTCTTCTCTTCCTTGAACTCAATCGCCATAAAGGTTAGAGGATTGAAAATTTGTGTGCACATATTACATCAGAAATGCATACCAGAAGCGATATCCGCATCAATATTACTTGAAATGATAACAAAATTTTCGTGGATAATATCAATTTTCCTTGTGCTCTGAAACCTAAAAGAGGTTGTCTATTGAGATTTACTCTGTTTATTATCAGATACGTGATTAATTCTGAATATTTTTATGTAAAACTATATTGATTCTTTCATCGTTGTTTATTTTTCTAAAGGAGAAAAGACAAAAAACTGCAGAAAGATTTTTTCTTCTGCTCGCCCATCTGACTTAATACATGCTCTCACTAATAGTTTTACTATATGGTATATTTGCAGTAAATTAAGTAGTCATTTCTCATCTATTGAACAAAATAAAGACTTTTCACAAAAAGCTAAAACAGAAGATGTGTGCAATTATGGACCAAGCGCTTCAAGGAATCTAAACCTAATTTTATTAGCCTGAGAATCGGCATTGAATTTTGCTTACTTTTCACAAGTTCATTTTTGCATTGTATCATAATTCAATTTTTTCACATGTGGGGCTACTCTCAGGTTTCGAATACATCTTTTTATTGACGTTCTATTTGCTAAGTGTACTGATTACGAAAATCATATTCAATGTCAAAAGCACTCTCTGAATATCTATAAAACTAGTTTTGACCTGGAAGTCTGTTAAGTTTTAATTTAGACTCGTCGAAAATACATTCATTTGACACAGAATACATTTTCTCTATTAAAATCTATAAGAATTTCTCAGAGATTCAAATGTTTTAATACCAATAAAGGGCAAATACTCCGTCATCCAAGTTGGACATATTGTTACAAATACTAATTTCTTCAGTTTTATCAATTTATAGCTTTCACTGGTACACTAGAGGAATTTTTTATCGAATATGCAATTCATTGTGCTTGTGTCTGATGATACCAATTTTTAATTTGAATTTCAATATCTAGTAAATTCCTTTTGTTCTAATAACCACACTGAAGAGTTCATTTATGTCTTTTCTGAGTGTACTCGACAGTTTTCGAGATAAAAAAACAAAACTCCATTTGACTATAAACAAATGGTATATTTAAAATAAACACAAAGATCTAAGATGAATTTTGTACATTTCAAACTGGTTTTGGAGGTTTTTTTGGGTCTAATTTTTTCCGCTGATGAGTATAGGTATGAGCATGAATTGAAGGAAGAAGACATCCACACTCTCTAACCGAAATCGTCAATTTCAATCCAACAAAATCAACATTAGGGGAATTTATTTGCTATCTCTATGACAGTAGTTTTCTGATGTTCATTTTTTCATTGTCTTTCTTCATGCTGCTTTTACGACTTTTCCTTTTTTTTTGTCTACTCGATAAGGTTTTCTGGAACTAATATCCGTATAATCAACGTTTTGATTACAGTTGGTCAACAAACTTAAACCTTTTAGAGTAGCTCAACATATAGAAATGCAAAGCATTTATGCTTGGCAAAGAATATGGAAAAACACCTTGTGCCCAAATTACACTGAAACATTTTTCTGATGCCTTGCTAAAGCGAACAACCTTTCTTAATGTCCACAGTTACGAATAAATTATGCAGAGATCGACATACTACGAAGGATTATTTAATAATGGCAAGGGTTCGAATAGGGTGCGGCGTAACGCCTTCTTGCTTGTGAAATTTGCTTGTGCAGCATCCCCTTCCCTGTTTTCTTGATACGTACCCATGCTGAGCCTCCTACCTTTAGTGGTGAGATACGTTCCTGAATGAGGGCACAATCTTTCGAGGTTGATGCCATTTGAGAGAAAGCCCAAATTCAAAGCCAAACACAAGTATACATCAAACCTAAACTATTTCTTACCGATTACGAAGCTTAGGATTTCTTGAACTTCTACGGTACTTTATCTTACAGAGCCTCGTCGGATTGAGTTCATTTCAGGCAAAATTCGAATCCGAACCCGATCTCAAGTCTAAATCAAATTGAGAATACTTAATGCTAAATTCAAGGTCTTGCACTTCCGACTTCCCTACTGTCGAGGACAATTTTCTGAAAACGCGATTTTCATTGATTTCTAACACACCAATAGAGTTTCAACAAAAATTGATCTCAGAGTCGAATTCTTCGCTGCGGAAAACCTATGGATGACA